TTTTGAAATTCGGGTGTCTGTGCACACTTATACCCAAATTTCAAGGGATAATGCCATTTTCTTAGTTACCTTCCCCCTGTAATCTCCATTCTTGCAAGCTGCTTTTCTGTTCCTTCCTCTTTTCCCGCTGTCCTGGGTTCAGCAGTAGCAGTCATTTTTCTCCTTCTTGGTAGCTGGTGCAGTGCTGTGTTTTGACTTTCAGCTGGGAACAGAGCTGAAAAACAATGATGTTTTGGTTTGGCCAAGGACTTTGTGGGCCTCATGCTCTGCAGGGAGGAGGGAAGTGGGAGGAAGCAGAGACAGGACACCTGACCCAAACTGACCAAAGGGTATTCCATACCACAGCACGTCATGCCCGGATGTAACTGGGAGAGTGACCCGGAAGGGGGAGAGAGTGGACTGCAGGGTTGGAGGAGGTATCGGTCGGTGCTTGGTCGGGCTGGGGGGGGCAAGTATCGGTCCCTGGTGATGGGTGTTGTATTCTCTTCCCTTGTTATTTCTTTATCATTATTATTGGTGGAGCAGTAGTGATTTGTGTTATACCTTAGTTACTAAACTGTTCTTATCTCAACCCGTGGGAGTTGCATTCTTTTGATTCTCCTTGTTCCCCCAGGAGTAGGGGGAGGGCAAGAAGGGGGGGGAGTGGGTAACAAGCTGTCTGGCTGTGGGTTAAACCACGACACCCGCAGTAATTCAGAATTCTGGACTGAACTTTGGACATAATGTTATGTGCTGCGCATTTCTGTTTGTCTTCTGTGACAGCACAGGCATGCTGAAGGAAATGCCTAGGCTCTCCAATCTGGAGCCTCAGACCACGAGGACAATCTGGTCGTTTTTATTTGTGTATGGGGTAGAAACAGACACACCACACCCCCCCAGCATTCTACAGAATAAGGCCATCAATCACAACTGTATCATGTCAGAATTTTTACCCTGACCCACACCCACAGGTAGCAGGCAAAGACTGATGACAATAGAAAAAAAATCACAGTATCTTATTTTGTTAATTTAGATATTAAGAAAGGTGTCTTACTCTAGGCGAAAGAAATACGACCGGCAGTGAAACAGTTACAAGAGAACAGAAAACAAACGACTGAGTTTATTAGTCAAGGCTGGCTGTCTTTCATAGCAATTAATCAAAAACATGTCTATTTTGGAACCCCCAGAATGATAAAAGGGTGTCTTTCCAGTACTGGAAGAGGAGAGTGTGCTTTCAAGGATACAGTGGCACTTTTCAGGAGGTAAGTGTGCAGTGGAAATGCCTGTCAGTTGGAGGCTCATTTCTGAGCAAACCTTGGTTTACCTGTTGACTAACATTACTGGTTGACTTAAATTCTTGTTGCATAAAAAAACTGTAAATATCACCTCTTTAATATAAATAAAAATCAGGGGAAACCCCAGATAAATTGCTTAAGCAACCACTTTTTGAATGGTGTCTGTTTAACCAGACTCCTCCCTCACCACAACTTAAGGCATGAGGAAAGAAAACTGTCTGGACTTCAGCACTGAGGACTTGCTTGTCTGGCTTACCCCAGCTGAAACTGCGACTGGCCAATGGGACTTCAGCCAAAACCACTTCACTTCTCCTTCCCCCCCCCCCCCCCGTTTTCCCTATTCCACTCCAACACACAGTTCCCACAGAAACAGGGTAGCATGAATAGTGCAGGCTTTGGGGGCCTTTCTGCAGAAGTAAATGCTTTTTTAAAAGCAGAGTCTGCATATAGTGTTGGCTAATTAAGATCTCATTTTTGGTGAAATGCTTTATTAGAGTTTAAGCTCTATTAGAGGTTATCTGGCTACTGAAAATCATATTTAGAATTCCTCTCTCAACATTTTAAACCTTCTGAAGTAACTTAATGGATTGGCTATCTGGCAGCAGAAATACAAAACTAATATTCTATTTTATCACTGCTTTAGGGCTTTTTCAGATTTCTTTTTCCCCTACTACTCATCAGTAACATTGGGAAGTGTCTGTGATGAATGAGACAGACATGATTTAGGGTCACTCAAAGAATCACCCTCAAAGGTATTAACAAGAGTAGTTTTAATATGAATTTATGAAAATGCAACTTAACAAAGTCCGATGGCAAGGTTCACTCTATAAGTTACTACGTGGATGAAACATACAAGAAAATAAGTTAGAATTGATCTAGAATGATTTACACAGACTGAAGATGAAAAAGGGTAAGATAGAACCCTCACATTGAGCCACGAGGTTCAGAGTGAACCCCCTCACTTTCTAAATCCTTGGTAGGAGCTAGGTCTGCTCTTAGTCTCAGACTTGGACTATGTGTAGAATGTACTATATTTATATTGATCGGCGCTAGTAAAAGAAGTGACAGTCTCCACCCTGTGAGTTGAACTTGTTGATATGGAACTGAATCTGGTTCATGCTGGCAATGATTACTCTTGCAAGAAGGGTAAGTGATCATCCAGTAGTTAACCCCATCTCCAGTAACACTGTGCTGGTATCATTCCTGGAAAGGGAAAACAACAGAAGTCTGCGAGATTTTTCCAGACAGGCTACCCCTTAGTGGCTCAAGTTGTTTAACTGCTTGGACTAAAGACAAAATTCCATTTTCCCACTCAGAATATCTCTGCTCTGTCTCTTTAAATGCAGTCAAGCTGAATAATAGAGGTCTCTTTGGTCCATCAGGGCCTGTTTAAAACAGGTTACAGTAAGTGCCATGTTCAACAGAACCTCCCTTGGCTATAACAGGGATGTGAGGGTGTTCTGAGCCCAATGTTTTTAATTCCTGTATTAGGGTTTTGACTGCCTCTTCATATTCTGAGTACTATTTCCATGGTTTTGCCTTTCATAAAAGTGAATACAATGGGTGAGCAATGACAGAAAATCCAGGTACATGCTTCCTCTGGTACCCTAGAGTTCCTATTAACTGTTGTAATTCTTTCCTAGATTGGGACATTTGAAGCTGTTTACTTACGGTATCCAGTGGGATTACTGCGCTACCTGCAAACCAAGTACCTGAAAACTTCTCTGCTTTGTCCCTGACATTTTTCAGGTGTGATCTCAACTTCATGTTTCATGGACTGCTTACTACTCTGCTGTTGCTGCTTCCCCCACCTTTTCAGGGGAATGTCCCCTGATTAGAATATCATCTATATATTGGTACAGTTTCACATGTTGAGGAAGTGAGACCGTAAATGTTCAGCAAGTGCAGCATGAGCAGTTGTGGGTGAATGTTTATATCCCTGTGGGGCTCTGTTAAAGGTCTATTGTTTACCATCCCAAGTCACCCCAAATTTATTTTTATCCTCCTCTTGTAAAGGGACTGGGTTCTGGAGGTGATTTGTGGTTTCTCCAAATCAGCTATGACTTCAGAAATTCCCTTTAGTGCTGCAGCAGAAATAGGGTATGTGGTACATTTGTAATCTTTGAGTCAGGGTGTGCAGCTGCCGTGCAGAGTACACACACCGTAGGCTCCCGATTTCTGTTAGGGCTAGGGTCAGCATTTGAACCAATGGACCACATGCTGCCATCCAGCAGGCGCCAGGTTTGGCCATTGAAAACACTGAAACCCAAACTGTTTTCATTGTCATCTGTAAATGCACAGCAAGTAGAGGCCTGGGAGCCATGAATTAACTGTGGTTTGGCAGGTAACACTCGCTCCGTTCGCTGCAGTAATTTTAACTCTTTGCCATCCAGGTAGTACTCAGCTTCTTGGCATCATGTTGTGTTAATACTGAGATCTGTGTTCCTGTATCTATTAGGAATTTTGCCAGTTGTTGAGGGCCAGCTGGAATCGGAATGTATTCTGCTTTAATGATGCATCTAGCCACATATTCAGAGGAATCTGAGGGAAGCAAAGAATCATCTTCCCTTAGTTTAGTATCATCAAGGTCACCCCGTATGTTCCCATCCCATTCTTCAGGGCATACAATTAATTTCCTAATGTCTACAATGTCAGGGGGATGAGGAGCTGGCTCAGCAGCAAACTGAGAGTCAGGAACTCCTGTTGCCTGGCCAAGGTGGGAAGCAAAAGCAGGAATAATCAGTCATCCCCCAACAGCCTTGGAACATTTCTCACCTACTATGTAGCCCAAGTGGAATGGTGCCATTGTTATCAGAACTTTTGACAGTTCTAGTAAATATGTACTCAGGTTGTGGCCAAGGTGGAAATTTACTGATGACTAAAGCACATCATCTTGTGACCTTATGAGCAGTTGTCCTAAGTGAGGCCCTTTGAGCTCTCCCAGACCACAGTAGGCTGTGACCAGCATCTCTCTCTGCCTGGGACACTCACAAACTCAAGTTTGTGAAGTTTAGAGGGCCACTGACAAAAGCTGATGAGAGCCCTGGGCCAAAGACTCTCCACTCCTCAAGGTTCAACCCTCACCCATTGAGAAATGCTGAGACATTTGAAGTGACTATTTCACTGAATTCAGGGGGAATTTTTAACAGGTATAACTTTATCTACCTATCTGCATCTGGGTTCATGTGTGTCTAAATTGATTTAGATACCCTATAGCAAGTACGGTTGAATTGGTACTTTTAGAACCTCGTATCAAGATCACCTTTTGCTGGTATCCTGGATGTTGATTCTTTAGGCGATCCTAACTGATTATACATGTATCCATTTCGATATAAACCGTTGCCTGAGTCTGAGACCAAGAGTGGACCTAGTTGCACCTAAGCTCCATCAGGGGTTTCGGAAGCAAGGGGGGTCCACTCTGAACCCCATGACTCAACAGGAGGGGCCCCCTTACTCTTTTGTGTCTTTGATCTCTGTGTAAATACTTCTAAATCAATTCCAACTTAGAATCATATAATAGTTTGGGCTGAAAGGGACCTTCAGTCATCTAGTCCAAACCGCCTGCAAAGAACAGGGACATCTTCAACTACCTCAGCTTCCTCAGAAGCACATCCAGTCTGGCCTTGAATGTCTTCAGCCATAGGCAAGGCAGGCAGGCATATACAGTATACAGAGCACACTCTGCTACGAAGCTGCCAGGTATATACCCTGCACAAGCTGCCAATACCCTCCACCTTTGCAGCTTTCCACTCTTCCTGCTGCCTGAGAGGCAGCAGCAGCTTTGTTGCCAGAGGTGGTCCCACCCAGCACCACCCGGCATCCTCACTTTTCCACAGCCCTTGTGAGAGCAGCAGGAGCAACAGGCCTGTTGCCAGCTCACACTTCAGGCTCTGCATCCTCGCCCAGCTGTTTTTTCCTCCCATGCCCATGGCACAAATACACAGGAAGGTCTGTCAGCCCTTGGAGCTGAAAGACCTTCCGAGATAATTGTGGCTGGGGGCAGAAATATGTAATTATTCCCCCAGTTCAGACTCCTGTTTCTTGTAACACTCTTTACTGTCTGCAGAAATTGAACGCTGCCACTCAAACATCCTTCATCTGTGGGCGATAACATCCTGTTTTGTCTACACTGCTGCAAAGCTTTACAATGTCCCTGAGTCAGACTCCTCACAGTGAAGCAAAGGGACAAAAAGAATATGTATTTCAGTTATCTCCCAGTGCTATGGTTAAGGTTTTAAAATCTCCTACAGTCACATACATTCTTAATTTAAAATTTTCCTGTATAGCACCAGTGACAATTTGCTTACAGCAACCTTCATATCGTTCATTTTCTAGAGAGGAACAAACTTGGTCAAAAATACCCCTAGTCCTCTCCCACTGAAATTCTCATTGCCTGTCTGTAAGATGTTTTTCCACCTTTCTCCTATTGCAGATTAACTGACACAAGGATTTGGAGAAATGAAATTGAAATATAAGCAGCTTTTAATTTAATTAAAAAAAAAAAAAACACGGGGGAAAGGAAAAGGGGAAGAATCAGCTTAAAGGTGATAGCCTATTAAAGCTCTATAAAAGGGTGTTTTTTGAAAGCCATTTTTTGTCATTATTGTGGAAACCTGTATTATATTTTTTGGATTGTTTTCAACATTCTTCATAGAGCTTTTGCACTGACATACTTACATTGTGCATTAAGTTCTCCAACTCAAAAAAAAACCCTTTTTCCCCATAATATTGTACTTCCAGATTTTGCGTGTTAATGAGTTATCACCTCCACTTTTTGGTTCATGCAAAGCTTCAAAATAAGCATTAGAAATGCAAATAACCTACATATGAAAAATACATCAGGCTTTTAATAGTTCTTTCATATGAATTCTCTGTGGTGCTTTTAGTGACAGGTAAAAATCAGACCGGTTAAGAGCAGCTGGTGCAAAGAGGTGTAAAATTACAACTTATCTGCCTGATTGTCAGTGCCCCTGGGAGGCATAAAACTGAAGAAGTGTGAGTGCAGTTATTGCTGCTCTATTTTATGAGGATTTTTCTACTGAGTGGGAACAACTCAACTTCATACCTTTGGGTTTTCAAGGATCATCTTTGGAGGAGACTGACTCAACATGCTTCTCACTTGTGCTCTCCTCCTAGCCAGAATTATGCTCTCATCTGCCAATATGTGCTATCCTGATTTCCTCTCCTGGGGATCCTGAGAGCAGGAAGACATTATAAACTTATTACAGGCAATAACTATGGTCAGTCATAATTCTTCTCACAAAACAAACTTCCTTTAGGTTGCTTTAAATAAGGTTTCTAAGGGAATATGCTGATAGTCACTTTTTAATTGAGATTAAACAAATAATGATAATGATACCACCTGACAGGTATATTAGAACATTTATAATAGGGTATTTTAAATTGTTAAACAACTGAAAAAATCAAGCTAAAGTTACAGCCATGTAATTATTCTTATTCTATTTACACTATACTTCTTCAGGTCAAAGAAGCACTTGACTAATGGAAAGAAAGTGGTGATGGCTGTGTGCCCTTTGCAGACCACACCTGGAAACCATGTCAGGGTTAGACCATAACAGATGGTGACTGAGAAAAGACATCATTTAAGTACTGATGGTGTCTGCTTGCCAGAATGCCTCAGTTTTATCACAGAAGCAGAACTAGAGATTACTTCCTTCCAGTCCCTGAGCCGTAGGAAGGATGGCCTCAAGGATTCTGTCCGTAGAATCTTAGATGTAGTTCTCTAGTATGTCAGACATTGCTTACAGGTATTGAGAAAGGACTAATAAACTTTGCTGAATATATTAGAAAACTTGAGAAATACATAATAATGATCTTAGTAGCTATTTACCTTGTGGTAGCACCTGCAGGTCCTTCATAATTCTGGTTCTTCACTGTACAACGCACTTCATACACTACAAATTTTATCAGAGCTGATGGCAGTAGATGAAGATAAACACAGTCAACAGGGAGAACTAATAGTAGGGTAATTATACCAAGCAGAGATTGTAAAATATAAGCTATTTAATTACTGTCAAGGATTTTGTAAACAGGGAGGCACTTAATGTAAGTATTTGGAGAAGGAAAAATAAGTATTTTAGGGAACTTATGTACAAGATAAAAGAAGCAAAATGTTACATGAGAAAGAAAGTTGGATCAATGCATGGTAGAATTCTTGCTGAAGGATCTCCCCAGCCAGATACTGCATCTGCTTGGGAGAAGTGAAGGAACCAACTTTCAACATCTACATGCCACAGCTATAGTGACTGGTCGGATGACAGCAATGATCAAAAGACACATAGCTCTTTTCGTATTGCTCCTACCACTGGGGCAGTGTACCACAGGGTGTTGGACAGCAGCAGTCCTAGCTCAGTATTCCTCGGTATGCTGCAGTCTTCACAAGTACCATACTCTGACTTCTCAATCGCTAATGTGTTGCTGGTTGCAGTCTACTGTTGACCTGTTCACAGGAGCATATGTAACCCATTCCTGATACCCCCACTGGTTTCCAGTAGGTTAAATTCCAAGTGTGGAGGGTGGACAAGGGGTGAACTAAAGATCTGTGATCAAGACAAAACTTTGATCCCCTAGAACATAATAACATAAATCGCTCTGGATCCATCTCCACTTAGAACTAAGGATAGCCACAAATCTTTGTTCCTGCCTTCCTAACAGCAACATGCATTTCCTTATGGTCTTTTATAAGCTGGCCTTAGAGCAACACACACGTACCTGGGACTTTTTAAATCCAAACCAAAGTGCTTCCCTCTTGCAGGTAAAGTATTTCTTTATATAAGTACAAGGAATAAGAAAATACGCCTCCATATACACACAGCAGTTATTTCATCATGTATGAGTGTTCTGAGTAGAATACAACTAGAAAATGGGAAGCATGAGAAACTGAAGTGGTGTTACTGGCCTGGCAAAGAGGAAGTCTGAGGCTGGCTAAGGCTAAGATGCAACATGTCTTTAAAGTAAAGCCAAACCATACATGTTGTAGTTAATGAAAAGATGGGTCTGTGCACCACCACTTAAAATGGAAAGAAGGGTAGAGGGTGACATTCCGAGGTCAGAAAGCCTCATGGTCTCAATACAGCCTGAGTTTACTTAGTTTTAAAATGGCAGCATGATTTGCATAGGAGGTGTAGGTTTTGAAACGGTTCTTGAATACATCAATGTCCTGGGGCTAGTGTTCAATTAGCAGAGTCTGTTTCCAATGCTCGGGGAGCTCAGGAAGGCCCGTGTCTCGTGTACGTGATTCCTGCTTCGGCTGCTGCTTCAGCTTGAAATTCAAACTCTTTCCGCAGAGTTGGTGTTCCTTCTGTACATTCTCGTCTGCTGCCTCTCGACGCTTCAAGGCGGTTTCCTCTGTCCCAGGCGGGCTTATCAGGCCGGCAGCAGCGGAACCGTGTGCAAGAGCTGTCCTCCACAGGTACCGTCTCCTGAACCCCGGCTTTCCCGCACCCGTCTCACCCCTGGCAGGGGCAGGGGCAGGGGCAGGGGCCGGCGCCCTCCGCTCTCTCCGGAGCAGCCGTATTACAGCCGCCCCGCTATAGGCACTGGGCCCCGCCGGTGACTCCCCGCCTTACCCCGGTTCCAAAAAGCGGTGGCTCTGCGGGACCGCCCAGGACGCGGAGGCACTGCCGCCGGCAAATGGCTGCTGCAGGCGGGCGGGAGCGCTCCCAGCCGGCCGGGCCGGGCCAGGCAGAGCTGCAGCAACGGGGCAGGCCAGGGGCGGGCGCAGGCAGAAGGCCGCCTCCGCACACGCGGAGCCAGGGCGGGCCCGCGGCGCTCGCTCCCGCCGCCGCCTCGTTCCCCGCGGCGCTGGCGGCTGGCCCGTCCTCCCGTGCTGGCGTACGGGTAAGTGGCGTCCCCCTCCCCGGGCCCTGCCGGCGGCGGCGCGCCCTCCCCCGGCAGCTGCAGCCGCCCAGCGCTCCGCGGCTGGCGGCTGGGCGGGAGCCGTGGCCTCCGCAGCGCGGCCGGCTCCAGGTTCACCGCTCCTGGGCCGGGCTCTGGGTCAGGGCGGCGGCGGATGAGGGGCTCAGCTTCGGGGCAACTTTACCCCCGCTTGCGCCAGGCTCTCCCGGCCCGCTCCAGGGCTCCCATAGCTGGCGGGAGGCAACCGCGTGGTGCAGGGACTCCCAGCGGCAGCCCTTTTCTCCTGCCAGCCCCTCACTTGCTCCCGCCCTGCTCCGGTAGCGCCGGGGCTGGCAGCGGCAGAGCCGGGCCGCTGGACCCGCCGCCGCTCCTCCGGCCCGGCCCGCTCCCTGCGCGCATGGCCGTGGCTGCCCTCTCAGCAAGGAACTGCTCCTTGCGCCCGCAGGAAGGGGTTGCTTTCGGGCGCTGCGGTATCGTCGTGCCCTCCCGTCAGTTGCTTTTTAATCCGATCTGCCTCATTTCGTTAGCGCTCCTACTCCTTTATTTACCCTTTTAAATATGAAGTGCCCCGTAGCCCCCACCTGTCCATGCGTGTACTCGACAGGTACCACACCGAAGGTAATCAGTCAGCGTTTCTTGCTGGGGAGAATCAAGCCCTTTATAGTAGCAAATCCTGTTTCTGCTAAAATATGGTCTGTGTTGAAATTGCTGTGGAACTGTTGCTTATGCAGTTTCTGGGTTTTATGTAAACACCTGTTTATTAGGAGGACTGAAACAGTGGAGCAGCAATCACTACCCTCTCACTAGCAGTGTGGTCAAGTGAGAACGTGTGCACCTTACTCAGCACAGTTTGCTCCTTCGAGTAATTACCCTGCAGAAAGTTTCCCAGGTTATGGCGCCCATTTGGCACAGGGTGGTGCTTTGGTGTAAGTCATTCCTGTGCTGTGAGAACAGGCCGTGTCTGACAACTTTGGAGTATGTGGCCAATGTTGAATTCTTTTACCAGTTTGTATAATTCAGGAACTAGGTATCACAGTTTTATGTCAGAAAAATAAGTCTCTTGTTACCTCTTTTGCAGGTGTCTTGGAGGACTCTGCTGTGCTGAGGTGTGTTTTGGTCGCCATGTGAAGGCATTCACAAGCCATCTAGAAGCCTTTCCACATAAGTGCTTTGTAACCCGGGCTCCATAAATTTGGGTACGTAGGAGAATCTGGAAATGGTGGTGAACTGCTTCTCTTGGCTATGGTTTTGTGGTTTTTTTTGTGGTTTTTTTTTTTTTTTCTTTTTAAAGGATTTTATGTATTTCCATTTTATTTGAGAACAAACTGAAATCGTGCTTTCTGCCTGAGGCTACATTGATTTTCTAATTGTGGGCAGAACTGTCCTGATTACAGTTAAATTGGGAATTTAACTTATTGCCAGTGAACATAAGTTTCATATTACTGATTTGGCAAGTGAGATACAAAGCAGACCACCAGTATAACACCTGGGGAAAATTCCTTTCCCAAGAAGATCCCCTTCCCCAGACTCAGCTTCTTTGCAGACACCTCCCTTCCCCTGGTTTCCTCATCTCCCATCCCCTGGTTGTCTTGCGGGTTGCACTCTGTCCCATCGGTGAGGCAGCAGGAGTGCAGGAGGTTGGCGTAGGTCCATGGAGGGTTGTTCCTTCTCTTTCATTTCTTCTGTTCCCATGTGGGCCCCTCCATGTTATCCTTGTCCCAGTGCAGGCACCTGACAGGCTGCAGTCCTTTCAGGGGTGTCCCTGTGGAGATCCTTCTTCCGAGAGTGCACCCCCATCAGTTGTTCTCTTCCCATGCATCCTCCCATGTCTTCTTTTAGCGCATTTCACGTGCCTTCTCCTTTGCTTCCTGTTGCACTTTCTGCGACCAGCTGCCTCTCCCTCTCTTAACCAAGCTGGAGCAGCGGCACGGGGGGCTCATCTGATGAGTTGGAGTTCTGGCAGGTGGTGAGTTTGGTCCATTGTAGACCCAGCTGGAACTGGCCACGGTCAGCACAGGGCAGTTGATGGGCTCCCCCCATGCAGCCCCCAAAACCTGCACTTTATCCCCAGTTGGGTGGTGTGAGAGAAAGGTCCTGCAGTTGCCTAATTATAGGAATTCCGGTCTCCTTTCATAAACACAGAAATAAAACCAGACTTCTCTGCTGTAGCTTGCTAAATAGCGATGTTGTGTTATGTCACTGGGTTGGTTACACTTTTACAGTTGTGTTTGTTATTAATTTGTCTGAGTAGTTGTGTCTGTTCCTATACAGCTGCTGATACCTGGTTTCAGAGGTGGCCAGTTTCTATAACAATCACATTGGTATATTCATAGTCTCTTTCTCTTTTTTAGCCTAAAACTTTCTCAAATAATTAGTTTTCCTCTGTTTTTCAGATCTGAAGGTGCTAGCTCTGCTGACACAAAGGTGGCAGCTCACACTACCAGGGAGCAATCAGAGCTCTGCTGTACCAGCGTGAGTAGTCATGTGCTTCTTGGAGATCATTTAACCTCCTTGTTGTTCTGTTATTTCCAGTCATTCAATGATTTTGGTATCTCATCCCTTTATTTGTTGGTCTGAATTGCTGCCACCTTGAGTTCCATGTGCGATTATGGGTGTTAGAAGAGATGAACGTAGAAGAGATGAGATTTGAGGTCTGAGGGGATCAAACCATGCTGTCTTGATCTTTAGAAGGTGGAATCTTGATAGAAAAAGGAATAATCGAGAGTAGTCATTTAACAGAAGGCTTGGGAACAAGCAGTGTCTTGGGCACTAAATTGCTAATGACAGCAGAGCCCCTGTGCATGGATGCAGCTGTGGTAGTAGTTGATGGTGGTGATGTATGGTCAGTGTAATATTGGATCCTGCTCTTCTGTAGAGCGCATGCTGCCTAAGGTTGGTATTAAGTTCCCTTAACATCTCCCTTCTCTCCTCCTGAGTGCATATTGTTTCTAGCTGTACAAAATCTTGATGTTCAACTTTAAAATGCAGAAAGTCATGTGTTTTTCCTGAACTCTTGCAGGGGACAGAGTCCTCGGAGTGAAGAGACTATGTATTGATATTGCTTTTAAGCAGACAAGAAATAAGCCATTCTTCTTGCTCCTCAGGGCTTTCTATCTTACACTGTGCCTTAATCATGGAAACTGTAGAAATGAATAGTGTATCCCTGAAACGTCCTCGCTCTGAGGATGGTGTGGCTAATGTAGATGAAGTTAAAAGACAGAAGATCTCAGAGAAGTCTAAGACAGAGAATGACTCTGGGCAAAGCACTGAGACTGTAACAGAACAACATGACAAATCTCTGCTTGAGGACATGAAAAATGAAATAATCCCCAATGAGGAAAGTGAGGAGCAGGAAGATGAGGAACTAGAGGACAGTGATGAAGATGGAGATCCTGAGAGCTTTGCAGACATGATGAAGCATGGACTGACAGAAAGTGATGTTGGCATAACTAAATTTGTTAGCTCTCATAAAGGGTTTTCTGGAATCTTGAAAGAGAGGTAATTCTTTGTCTTCTTATGTATGTTAACACCTTGTGTTAAGCAGCTATTGTTCTCTGTTTTCCTTTCTGACTCACAAGATGCAACTGGGTTATGTGCAGCCACCTGAGAGGTTCATTACTTTCTTTTCCTGGTGCTAGGACTGAAAGAAAGGTTTAATTTGGGATTTTACTTTGGTTTTATTAAATAACATCTTTGAATAAAACAAAATGTAAATACAAAAACTCACTGAAGTGAGAATCGTTGTTGCCCTGACTTAGCAGAGCAGATAAGGATGCTTTGCACAAATGGAAGTCCCCATTTTTAAATACTGGCTTCACATTTAGATCATTTTACATAATAAAATGATGTGCACATATTTAGTATATATTTAATCTTTCTATGCAGCATTAAGCTGCTAGCATAATCTGTCACTGGGGAGCACAGTCTGTGCTGAACTTCCTTCTGGGAAATCTGCCAGTTTTGAACCAAGGTGGCCAAAGGTAGCCAGGTGTTAAAACTGTTTGGGGCTTACAGTTTTCCTTTGATCCTAGTTTATAACATGCATCATTAATTTAGTCCTGGCGTTTTTATGGTACCAGTCACTAGCATGTGTAGACAGCAAGAGGTAATAGGAGACAGGACCTGAAACACTCCTCAGGAAGGAATTCTACCAATACAAGATATTGCACAGAGATATGGCAAATGGGGGCTTGTGGGAGATACAGTCAAAACACTCCCATGGTGAAGTTTTATTCACCTTTCAACATTCACAGGCTAAAAAATTTTTCTTCTTTTTTTTTTTTCTCCTTTACAAGCAAATGCTTATTAGAAATCACATAGCAGTTCCAACCTAGGTTGTGCTGTGTTAAATGTTATTATTGGACATAGTGACTTGATTGAAAATTTCCCAAATTCTTTGTTGCTTGCATACAGTAACTGTTAAATTGAAAGATG